TAAAGTAAAGGCCTTCAATTTTTAGCCATTTAGTATGATACTGTTTGTTGGTTTGTCATAAATGGCCTTTATTATGTTGAGGTAAAGACCATCTATTCCAATTTTCTGTAAAGTTCTTATCATGAATGAATGTTGGACCTTATCAAAAGCTTTTTCTGCATCTATAGAAAAGATCATGTGATTCTGATTTTTGGCTTTATTGATATGGTCGATTATATTTATTGATTTATGTATGTTGAACCATCCCTGCATGCCTGGGATGAATCCCACTTGGTCGTGGTGTATAATCTTCTTGATTTGCTCCATCCTATTTGCCAATATTTTATTGAGGATTTTTGCATCTATGTTCATTAAGGAGATTGGTCTATGGTTCTCTTTTTTAGTTGGGTCTTTCTCAGGTTTTGGTACTAGAGTAATATTTGCTTCCAGGAATGACTTAGGAAGGATTTCTTCCCTTTCAATTTCATTGAATAGTTTGAGGAGTGTCAGCATTAGGTCTTCTTTGTATTTCTTGTAGAATTCTGCAGTGAATCCGTCTGGGCCTGGGCTCTTCTTTGTAGGTAAGGACTTAATTACATTTTCAATTTCATTGATAGAGATTGGGTTATTCAGCAGTTTTACATCCTCTTGATCTAGCTTTGGTACTTCATATGTTTTTAAGAATCTGTCTATTTCTTCTGTGTTATCAAACCTTTGAGAGTAGAGGTTTTCAAAATAGGTGTTGATGATCTTCTGTATTTCTGTAGAGTCTGTAATGAGTTCCCTTTTTTAATTTCTTATTGCATGAATTTGAGCTTTTTCTTCCCTTTTTAAAATAAGGTTGGTTAGGGGCTTATCGATTTTATTTATTCTTTCAAAGAACCAACTTTTTGATTCGTTGATTCTTTGGATTGTTTTCTTAGTCTCTATTACGTTGATTTCTGCTCTGATTTTTATAATTTCCTCTCTTCTTTTGGCTTTGGGCTTGACTTGCTCTTCTTTTCCTAGCTGTTTGAGTTGTAGCATCAGGTTATTTATTTGTATTCGTTCTGTTTTCCTGATGTGAGAACTCAGTGCAATAAATTTTCCTCTGAGGACGGCTTTCATTGCATCCCACAGATTCCGGTAAGTTGTATCTGTATTTTCATTTTCTTGTCGATATTGTTTAACTTCTTTTTTAATTTCCTCTGTGACCCACTGATTACTCAAGAGTGTGTTATTCAGTTTTGATGTGTTTGTGGGGATTTTGCAGTATCTTTTATGATTAATTTCTAATTTCATAGCACTATGGTCTGATAGCGTGCAAGAGATAATTTCAACTCTTTTCATTTATTTAAATATGTTCTCTGAGTTAATATATGGTCTATTTTAGAGAATGTGCTGCTGAGAAGAATGTGTATTCTGATGTTGTTGGATGGAACACTCTGTATATGTCTATGAAGTCCATCTGTTCACAGGTCTGATTCAGGTTATTTCTCTGCTGATTTTCTGTCTGGTTGGTCTGTCCCTTGGTGTCAATGGTGTGTAAAGGCCTCCTGTTATAATTCTGTTATTGCTAATTTGGTTTTGCATTTCTATTAATACTTGCTTTATGTAACTGGGTGCTCTGGAATTTGGTGCATACATATTTAAGATAGTTATCTCTTCCTCTTGGAGTTTTCCCCTAACGAGTATGTAGTGATCTTCTTTGTCTGTTCTGATCGTTGTTGGTTTAAAGTTCACATTGTCTGCAAACAGAATGGCTATTCCTGCTTTTTTTTTTTTTTTTTTTTTTTTTTTTTTTTTTTTTTTGGATTCCTGCTGCATGAAGTATTGTTTTCCATCCTTTGACTTTCAGTTTGTGAGTATCCTTCTGGGTTAGATGGGTTTCCTGTAAACAGTATATGGTTGGATTTTGTTTCTTGATCCATTCTGCCAGTCTGTTTCTTTTAATTGGTGCATTGAGGCCATTTACATTAATGGTTATTACCATTTTATGTTGGTTTATTGTTGACATGTTATGTTTCTGCTGTTGCATTTTTATCTTTCTGTTCTGTTTGTCTGCTTTGCTTAGTGGTTTTTTCTTTTGTGTACCTAAACTGTCTTTCAGTATTCTTTGCAGGATTGGCTTGGTGATCATGAAGTTTTTCAGGTGTTCTTTGTCATGGAAGTATCTTATTTCTCCATTGATTTTGAAGGACAGTTTTCAGGGTACATCAGTCTAGGTTGGAAATCATTTTGCTTTAGGATCTGGAATACTTCACTCCATGCTCTTCTTGACTTTATTGTTTGTGCTGAGAAGTCTGCAGTGATTCTGATAGGTTTTTCTTTATAAGTGATCTGTCTTTTCTCTCTGACAGCTTTTAATAATCTATTCTTGTGTTGGATTTCTGGGTGGTGATTATTATATGTTTGAGTGTATTTTTATTTTGGTTATGACTATTAGGAGTTCTATATGCTTCACTGATCCTGATGTCAGTTTCTGATCTCATGCTTGGGAAATTTTCAGCTATTACCTCTCTAAATATCCTCTTGACGTCCTTTATGCTGTCCCCTTCTTTTTCATCAATCTTAGGTTGTTTTTCTTTGCATCATCTTGCAGCTGTTGAATTGTTGTTTCCTGATTCCTTGTTATTTTTAAAAGATCTTTCCTTTCCTGTTCACTAGCTGCAATCCTGTCTTCAAGGTCTGAAATCCTATCTGCACTTTCATTGAGGTGGTTTTTACAGCTTTCAGTGGAGTTTTTTATTTCCTGTATATCTCTGTGCATCTGCATTATGTATTCTGTTTGTTTCTTATATTTCTTGTCTAGGGATTCTATCTTTTTGTTTAGTTCCTCCAATTTTTAACTGTGTTTTCTTTAGATATGTTCAGCATCTCTTTCATTTCTTTTATCATTTCTTCTTTTACCTGGGAGATTATTTCGAGTTTGAATTCCTTTAAAGCTTCATGGAGTTGCTTGTTTATTTCAGTAGCTATTATGTCCGATATTTGAGGTGTATGGCATACATTTTCTTCTATATACATTGCTCCTAGGGTTTCTTGAGATGGGCTGGAGGTTTGAGGTTGTAATTTGGTCTTTTGTTTTGTCATTTTCCTATATTTCTGTGTTTGAAGTGTTATTTGAAAGCTTCCTCAGTGTCTGTTAGAAATCCACTTCTATGTTCGCAGCTCCTGGGACTCTAGCTCCCAGTTCCCCCAGGGCCGCTGGGTCTCTGGAACTCGTGGTGTTCACTTGCTTGCTTTGAACTCTGCAGTCCCAAACAAGCTGGGCTCCGAGGACAGTGTGCGCTCGCCTGCTTGCTTGTAACTCCACAGTTCTCCGAGCGCAGCCAGAACGGGGCAAGCAGAGTATTTTCTAACTACAGTGCAGCATGTTAATCTGTTTTAATGAGAGAATTTCTACTAATTACAATGTCAACAGATCCTTTCATGCATCAATCATAAACATTAAAATTTGTTTTGATAGTTACACTCTTTTATCAGTACCCTTACAGACCATATTATATTTCTACCTGCAGTTCATCTGGAATGTGAAATGGGGGGGGGGAGAAGAAGGGGAAAATAGGGGTTATGTCAGTGGGAAGAGGGGGAGGTAGGAGAAATGACTGTATGTAAAGAATAGACAAGAGGTTAAACTCGGTTGGAATTATTTTTGTAGCTGGGTTAAAGTGCTACTATTGAGGAGATTTGAGAAAGTATTTGTGTAGTCAGGAGGAGGTATGCAGATGGGTAGAAGTATATTTAAAGATTGAGGAAGGCTGTGAGATTGTTGATATCTGTTAATATATTTTTCCTTAGTTTTATAGATCTCATTTGCCTGTAGATACAGATGAAGACATCACATTTAATAATAACTAAAATTCTGCTGCTCCTTGCCCCTGGTGTGTTAATACAGAACCTCAAGCCCCAATCTAAAGTTATACCAGATCAAGGAATACTTACATAGGGTCTCACATAAGTTATTAAAGAGTCCCTTGGTGTGTTTTTGCTATTATCTCTTGGTGATATTAATATTGTGCTGCCTAACAGATTGGCACTTCTCTACTCCAAGTACAAAGTGCTCTAAAATTTTGAAGCTGATTCTTTTAGCACAAAAGTCACATTTTCCTCTGAGTATAGATTTTGGCTACATTTTACACTTTTTTTGGTAACAGGAATGGAACTCATGACCTTGCCTCTTGCAAGGCAGGTGCTGCGCTGCTGAATTATATCGGCAGCCCCAATTTTCACTTGATACCTAATAATCTCTGTACTTTTAGCATCTGAATAATTCACAACTTCAGTTTTTATTTACTATATTGTTTATTGCTTAAAATTTCATGACATTTTCTCATGGATTAGACTTTCAATCATAAAAGCATTCATGGTTTTTAAAATCTCCTTTAATTCTGTTTCTTTAATTTTAGTATAACACAAAGCTTAGCTAGTTTACCTTTTCCATGATGGTTTTCCTTCCTTGTATCTATAAAAAGTATTTTAAATATTATTATTTTTATTTATTTTTGGTGGGAAATAGATCTGCTGATTTCAACTCTAACAAGTAATAGAATTCTCTAAGACACTTTTTTATGGTTAAACTTGTGAGACTCTTGAACTTATAAGTGATATTTCAGTTTCCATTTACTGAGAAGCTTCATCTTGTACACACAGGTTTATAGAACCCTTTCAAAAACAACATGACTATTGTTTAAAGAAAAACTTTAAAGTTGAATTTGACAGAATTTACTTGACCAAGGCATGATAATGCACAAATTGGGCAACATTTGCTTCATATCATCATGTTTTGGCAGCTGTTAGCCTGTAATTGGCTAGAGGTTAAATTGCTATGATATTATGAGATACAGATACTTGTTACAAAAATATACTTCTAAGTTAGGTTACAGCCTATTTATACATCAAATTAGGTCACAATTTACTACGTACAAAGAAACCTTTAAACCAAATTTAAAATGTATATGAAACCAACTTTAGGCCAAATTTGTTATGACTCATGTTAATATGACTCCTAATGAGTTGTTTCTGGGTTTGGGTGTGGGTAGGTGTAAAACATTTGAAAGATTTGCCAATTATGCCAGGAGAAATATTCAAGTATAAGTGGACAGTGACTGTAGAAGATGGGCCAACTAAATCGGACCCTCGTTGCTTAACCAGATATTACTCCAGTTTCCTTAATCTGGAGAGAGATCTGGCTTCAGGACTCATCGGCCCTCTTCTCATCTGTTACAAAGGATCTGTAGATCAAACAGGAAACCAGGTGAGTTCATCATTTCCTAAGTGCTGAGTTGTAAGCTAAAAGTGGAATGAGATACATATGAATTTCCAAATATATTCTGTTCCCTCTTAGTGTATGCTCCCTAATGGCCTCCAGAAAATATAGCAGCCCACAATATAGTGTGCAATAAAAACAGAAAGAAATTGGTTTCCACTTAACTTTTACTGAATTTGAGTATGATGTAATTCTGACTAGATTGAAAAGCCAGGACCCTTTCAACAATTATCATTTCCAGTCTGAGACTTAGCTCTCTGGATGATCTTGCTCATTTTTACATGCCCAATTATCACCTATTTTTAGATGACCTACAAAAGTCTAGAATTCTCTGAACATTCTCAGTGTTTGTGATTCAAAAGCACCTTAAAATTAATGTCTTCAGCGTCTCACATAATGAATGGAATTTAGTAGAAACCATTTTGTTGAGCAAAGTACAGAGAAATAAGATAAAATCTTTCAGAGTACATTTTCAATTTGGATCACTTCTGCCTCTTTAAAAACTAAAGCTGAATTAATTAATTTTTAGATATCAAATGCCTTGTGGAAGGGCAGTAGCTAGATGATTGGAGTTTAGGACCAGTGCTAATTTTGTTGCCATAATTTGGATCTTTACAGAGTTAAAAATTCTCTAATCTCAACATGGAGAGAATGAGGCTATAGACTGTACCAAAAAAAACTCAACGTGCATGAGGTCTTGTGTTCAGAGGAAACTAAATTTAGTGCTTCCAGTCACCTTCTTGCTCTGAGGACACCCCCTTAGCTCTAAACATGCACTTTCTGTTTATAACACCCACCCCATTCCTAGGCTCTGGTTTGTGATGTAACAGTGACCCTAAGAGAAAATGAAATTGAACCAAAGATAGTTCCTATCTGATGGTATCAGTAGCTTTTTCTTTTTTTCAGCACCGGGGATTGAATCTAGGGCTTTCACTCTGAGCTATTATCCCTAGACCTTTATTTTGAGACAAGATCTCCCTGTGTAACACAAACTGCCAGCAAGCTTGTGATCCCCCTGCTTCAGTTTCCTATAGTGCTGTTACAGGTGTCCATCATACTTGACTAATAGCATTTCTTTCATTACATATGATTAACAGATGATGTCGGACAAGAGAAATGTGATTCTATTTTCTGTATTTGATGAAAACCGAAGCTGGTACCTCACAGAAAATATGCAGCGCTTCCTCCCAAGTGTAGCTGGAGTGCAGACCCAGGATCCAGAGTTCCAGGCCTCCAACATAATGTACAGTGAGTATAGCATCACTTGAGTCCAGTGGCTATTGGATAAAGAGAAATTGATGCCACTAAACTTATATCCAGACAATTAATTAATTTAAATGCCATGGAAGAGTCATAGTTCTTTAACAATTGTTACCTATAAATACATAAATAAATGTATAAATGTGATCATACAATACATATTTTAAAAATCCAGTCACAATTTTTTTTTATTCCAATGTTTACTTGGCTGCCCCTTCTCTTTCATTTTTATTTTATCTTCTGCATCCCACCATTTCACCAATGATTTCATGCTTAGGTAATTCATTTTAAAACACTTTCTCTGTGATTATATAATCATATAATACATACATTCTATTGATTGCTTAGGTTTTCCAGGTATTGCAGAGATTTTATTACTTCACAGTTCTGGAGACTAAAAGTCTCAGATAAGGTAGTCAGATGGGTTGCTTTCTTCCTTGGCCTTTCTTTTTATAATATAGATGTCATCTTCCCCCAGTACCCTCATATGGTCAACCCTCTGTATCTGTCCATGTTCTCATCTCTTCTTATAAGGTTATTATGGTCTAGCCTAATGACTTTATTTAAACTAATTGCCTATTTAACAACCCATCTACGCAAACACTCACGTTCTAAAGAACTGTAGGTTATGACTTCAGCATATGAATTGGAAGTGGGCACAATCCAGCACATCACATACATACATATGTATATTGTGTATATATACACATAAATCTAGATAGTCAAAAGACATGATAGAAAACTTCAGTTTACTACCTTATAGAGAGAAACAAAATAAAATATCAACAAGATAGCACTTTATACCTATCACACTGGCAAAATTGTGTCAGCATCATTATTAGCAGGCTTCTAGGTAAAAGGGTATTTTCATACAATGTTAACAGATAAATAGTATAATCGTTTTAAAAACAGATTGAGGTACATCCATTAAAATAAAAATAAATGCCTTTTGAAGTTTTGATTATAGTTAAAATGGAGTAAGCACTTGTCACCTGTCTCTTCCACAACTAAAAATTCTGAACCAAATGAATGGAGACAGTGGTGGAAAAATTATACTATCAGTTATACTTATCTCAGAATGTGGCTTCCATTATGAGTCTATGCTCCTTGTCTCTAACTTTTAGCTTCAAGTTGAGCCTTATGTTTAGCTTAAACTTTTTTTTCTTTTTCCTTTTTATCGGTACTGGGTATCGAACTCACAACTGCCTGCTTGCAATGCAGGTGCTTATGCCGCTGAGCTAAATCCCCAGCCCCCTGAGCTAAATCCCCAGCCTCTTAGCTTATACTTTTAGTAATAATGATCTTTATTCTTCAGGGTCAGAGTTCACAAAGGATACAATTAAAAAGAGTAGGCTAGGGACAGGGATGTCTGTCAGTAGTGACATGCATGACAACCTGGGTTCAATCCCCAGTAATGCAGGGGGGAAAAGATGACCATATTAAGTGTTAGCAAATGTATGAAGGAAGAACTCTCATACATTGCTGTTAAACATCTTAATTATCTGGGTTAAAGTTTTTTCCTGTACCTTAAAGTTTTTTCCTGGTAACTAATTTGTAGGGAAATACTTTGAGGCCATACAAGTACCTTGCTCCTCATCCCACAATCCTCTGTATCATATAGCATTTAAATTCACCTTTGCCATTATAGTCCATGACTTTCTCCTTACTTGGGATTGAGGCCCTCCTGACCAGGTGTTAACTATCTACTTTTTGGAAGGTTTCATGCTGTCTTTCTTTGAGAGGTAATGAGCATAACGGACAATAATTTCTAGTTATGTCACAACAACCATAATTTGAAATAATTGTTGGATACTATTAATTTTTTATTTTCCATTTCTTTGCAGGCATCAATGGTTATGTTTTTGATAGCTTGCAGTTGTCTGTTTGTTTGCATGAGGTGGCATACTGGTACATTCTAAGTGTTGGAGCCCAGACTGACTTCTTATCTGTCTTCTTCTCTGGATATACATTCAAGCATAAAATGGTCTATGAAGATACACTTACCCTATTCCCATTCTCAGGAGAAACTGTCTTCATGTCGATGGAAAATCCAGGTTAGTTATTGTATGATCTTTTCACCAACAGCTGTGCTTGCCCCACTAGCCATTTACACGCTCACATTTAGCCAGATGCTAAATAATTCAAATGGTTTTGATATGTGATTTTGATCATTGCATGCCATTTTAATGGTGGCATCAACTCAAACACTTAAAAATCTTTGCTCTAAAAAGGTGTTTCATTTTCTTTTATTTATTTATTTATTTATTGTCTTTTTGAGACAGGGTCTCTATGCAGTTCAGGCTGGCATTGAAACTACTTTGTAGCCCAGGCTGGTCTTGAACTCGCAACGATTCTCCTGCCTCAGCCTCCTGAGTGCTGGGATTACAGGTGTGAGCCACCACACCCAGCTAGGTGTTTCTTTTTCTATCAGCCAAAGTTTAAAAATGTGTTAGTAAACATATATTTATACATGTAGTCAACATTTGGAAGCCAAATATATTTCTGTGTTCCTTGTGAACTGTTTGTGTTGCTAGATAAAAACCATCTAGAAGCCTTTGGAAAGTGCGTAGTAATCTTCCTTCGCACACAAACCCCCAAACCACTTGAGACCTTCAAAACAAATGTGACACTCAGCTCCTCATCTTCCTTCTCCTCCAGAAACTACTGCAAGGCTTTTTGAGACCACTATTCTTAGATCTAACACAGACTGTGTTCTACTCATACTGCATGGGAACAAATATGAGACTATGCTATACTTCCTAGTCACTACCATCATCTGCAGAAGGAAGCACATAAAACCACTAGATTATAGTTGTCTTCATGGGAAATTTCTGAGGAATAAAAATTAATTTCATCATACTTAATTACATGGTTACCTTCATACCAGGTAACTTTTCTTTCTTCAAGTGATATGTTTTTGTGAGGTATGAGTGAAGAAGAACCTGGCAGAACCCCAATAACAACTTTGAAAGTATCTTGCTTGTTCACGATTGTGTTTATACATGTATTACCTGTCCCAAGTAAGTTGCAAGCTCCCTGAGGGATGAGATCTTGTCCATTTTGTTCAGTATTATGCCCCAGTGTCTATAGTACTTGGTATATAGTAGTAGATCCTTAATAAACATTTTTTAAAGAATGAATGAAACATATGCAAAATGACTATGTACAAGGATATATGTGGCAGCATTATTTAGAAAAGTGCTAATGAAATGGACATCTTTGTCTTGTTTCTGATTTTAGAGTAAAAATTTCAGATTTTGACCATTTAATATAATATTGGCTGTTGGTTTGTCATAAATGGCTTTTATAAGATTGAGGTAAAGACTATCTATTCCAATTTTCTATAGAGTTTTTATCATGAGTGATTGTTGGACTTTGTCAAAAGCTTTTTCTGCATCTATTGAGATGATTGTGTGATTTTTGTTTTTGGTTCTGTTAATATAGTGTATTACATTTATTGATTTGCATATGTTGAACTATATGTTGGTTTAATTCTAACATTTCTGTGTTGATTTTGTGTCTAGTTGATCTGTTTGTGAGAGTGGGGTATAAAGCACTACTACAATTATGTTAGTGCTTACCTGTTTAGTTTTCATGTCTATTAATATTTGTTTTATGTAGTTGGGTGAACCTGTGTTTGGTACATAAATATTTATGATTGTTACTGTTTCTTCTTAGAGTTTTCCCTTAACAAATATGTAGTGGCCTTATTTATTTCTTTTGACCAGGTTTGGCTTAAAGTTTGCATTGTTTGCAAATAGAATAATTACTCCTGCCTTTTTCTGGGTTCCAGTGGCATGGAGGATTGCTTTCCATCCTTTGACTTTTAATCTATGAAATTCATTTTGTGTTAAATATGCTTCTTTTTTATTTTATGTTAAGAGAATAAAACCAAACAAAATATTACAGGATAAAGCCAATCAAAACAAAACAGTGGAAGTGATACAGAACTTCAAAACAGGATACTAGGAAATCAACTGTTACTACCATAATGCTCTTGTTATCTTCAAAATTGCTGCCCAAACCATTAGACATAAAATCAAGCAAAACAGAACAGAATAAAACCAATCAAAACAATACATTGAATAAAACAAAGTAATCAAGCAGAGCAAAACAAAACAGTGAGAACAATATTGGATTTCAAAAACAAGACAGAAGGAAATCCCCAATAGTTGCTATATTGCATACTGTTATCTTCTAAATAGATGCCCAGACTATTGGCTTTAGGCCTGTAAAGTCAATCAAACAATGTAAGTATTAAGTTGTTTTTGTATCTCAATTGCTGCCACTCAGTCTGTGTTCCTTTGAATCAGCTGGTTGCTTATGAGAGGAGTGGCCTTAACTATTCTTATCTCCCAGTCCCCATGCCACTGGTTCATGGGAAGGGTGCTTCCTGTTTCTCCTCCTCGCCCATGGTCACCAATGGCTCATTGGAAGGGCACTCCCTGTTTCTCCTTCTTGCCCAGTTACCCTAAATGTGTTTCTTGAATACAACATATTGATGGATCTTGTTTCTTGATCCATTCTGTCAGTTTGTTTCTTTTGATTGGTGAGTTGAGACCATTTACATTGATGGTTATAAACGATATGTATTGGCTTTCCTTTTTCATGTTGTTTACCTATTGTTTGTTCTCTGTCTTTTTCCTCTGTTTAATTGCTTGTCCTGCCCGGAAATTGGTGTTGATATATTTGTGGTCTTTGTTATCTCTTGCTATTATGTTCTTCAGATCATTCTGTAGAGTTGGCTTGATGATCATAAATTTCTTCAGTTGTTCTTTGTCAGAGAAATATCTCATTTCTCCATCAATTTTGAAACATAGTTTTGTAATGTATATCAACCTGGCTGGAGATTGTTTTCCTTTAGGGCTTGAAATATCTCATTCCAAGATCTCCTTATTTGGAGAGTTTGTGTTGAGAAGTCTGCTGTGATTCTGATGGACTTTCCTTTATAGGTGATTTTTTTTCCTTTTCTCTAGCTGCTTTCAATATTTTGTTCTTGTGCTGAATTTCTGGAATCGTGATTATTATATGCCTATGTGTAGATTTTTCTTGGTCATGGCTATTTGAAGTTATATATGCTTCATTTATTTGTATGTCAAATATTTATATACATGTTTGGGAAGTTTTCTGCCATTATTTCTGTGAAGAAGTTTTTAATGACTTTTGTGCTGTCTCCAGCTTCCTCACTTATTACAATCAATCTTATGCTGTTCTTTGCTTCATCCCGTAAGTGTTGGATTAATTTTTGTGGTCTCTAGCAATTTTTAAAATCTTTCTTTTCCTGATTGCTAGTCACATTGTTGTCTCCCAGATACGATATTCTATCCACACCTTCAGTCAATCATAGTTTCCGTTGTTTTCCTGAGTTCCTCTATTTTTTTTAATCTATGTCTGCTTTAGTCTTTCATTTTGATCATCATTTTTGCACCTTAGGGTTTATTTTTTCTATGGCCTCTTCCATTTATTCTTTTACTTATGCTGCTATCATTTCAGAGAGTTCTATTTGTTGGTTTCTGATTTCCTCTATTTCTTTGTGCTCTGGACTTGTCCTGGTTGGGCTGGGTCTTTGAGATTGCATTTTTGTTCTTCATCTTGTCATTTTATATTTTATTTTGTTTTCTGTGTTGATACTTGTAGATTTCTTATGTTAGATAGCCTTATCACTGATGTGGAGCCTTTCAGTGGATGAGTCTGTTCCTTTGGATGTCTTCTAGATGTATGTGGTTCTTGGTTCTTATATCTATCCCTAGAACCTACCTTCCCAATACATTAAGACTGAGGAGTTGTTATCTACTTGACTTAGCACATTTCTTTGGTACTAGATTATGGTAAATTATGGTGTTGGTTATGATTCCTTGCAATCACAGTGTTGTCACTCTTTTTGCCAGTCATGCCATCCCGGTGGAAGAAAGAAACCAAATTCTTACTACTCTTACTGGGCTAGGTCAATGGAGAAAGGGAGGAATGCAAACTCATACTCTTCTTGCCAGCTTTGACTCCTCTCACTGGCACCACCATCCTGGGCAGTGGAGGAAAGGAAGAGCCAAACTCACACTCCTCTGGCCTGCACTACCCTCTGGGAACAATCCCATCCTTTCTTTTATGTTGTAGTATCTTGCTCCTTTTTGTTACTATTACTGAGGTGAATTCCTTCTATATAACCTTTTTGTAGAATATTTATATGTATATGACAGTGAGGCATTAGAATTGAATTTCAGACTAGCAGGAATTCTCTTTATTACAGAAGATTGATTATGTGAGTTTTAATATAACTTCTGTCTAGTCCATTGAGATCAAAGTTGCACAGTTATTTCTTTCTAATTTGAAAGAGAAAAAAATTAATAAAACAGTTTCAAAACAGGCTAGTAGTAGAGTAACAATAATATACTGTATATTGTCATAATAATTGTTCAGAGAACAAGACATAAGCATGAAATATTATACAAACAATATTAATACAAACATTTCAATTAATGCAGGATTATTTTCATTTCAAGAAATCTTTCTTCCTCTCCTCTGCTTATAAAGCAAACTTGTACTGAAAAAGTGTGCCATCTTTCCAATTTTTTGAGACTTGGGTTGAAAAGAGTCCAACAAAACCACTGATGCCAGCCTGTATTAACCCTATTGCTATTGTGAATGGCTGGTTTTTAATATCAAAGTGTGACCCTTATTCTGGAAAAGTATGTTCTCCTGGACTTTTTTGAAATCCAAAGGCAGCCACTGTTGTCTCTTTTTTTAAGGAGAAAAAGAAAAAAAAAACAGAAAAAGGGTACAAGTAATACAAAATTTAAAAAATAAACAGTAAGAAATCATTAGTTAATAGATTACATATTCTCATCTTAGAAATAGTTGTTCAAGTTACAAAATTGAAGCATATAAAGTAGACTTCCAAACAGTGAGAGTGCAAACAGTTCTGTTCAATGATCCAAAAAAACTCAGTAGTATGGTTATCTATCTTATACACTTAAACATATATGCAGTTATAACCTTTAGAGCACTTTCTTTTCTTTCTTTTTTTTTTTTGTAGAATGACAATTACACATTTTGGGTT